AGGAGCTAGAGTCAAGAGAACCCCTACGAATTGAGCTACTATAATTACCACAAATCCGAAATTGTTGTCATCCCTATTAAGCCAACATAGAAGCTAACACCCTCAGTTGATAAAGAAATCTGAGTCGTAAGTGTCAAGGACATTGACTACGACCATCCATTCACGCTTAATCCCACAAATTAAGCATCTCAGCGGATATCATGGAAATCCAGAAACTGAGATAAGTTAAACCCTGAGAAGAGTGGATGAAGAGATTAAAGTTCCGAATGATGGGAACCTATACTCACTAGATTTGACCTAGACTGAGAAAACTCAGAACCTTCGGAAGAGTAGTTGCAGAAGGTGTTCGCACTACTCAGGCACTTCGTCCACCCTGTTACAGATGAGTAGTGCCTAGAATCCTCCGCCCTCTCGCATGGAGGAAGTCACCACCGCCTTGTAGGCGATAGACTGCATTCTACAAAGCGAACACTAGAATACCGAGAACCACAGGATAACCTTCGCAGCCAAGAATACTTGATCAAAGTGCAAAAGTAGTTGCGTTAAGCCTTATAACCCAGATCCCGAAGAGATTATAGACTTGACACCAGTCTAGGTGTTAGTCGATGGGTTATACGAGAGCAACCGTTTTCCACACTAAAATAAACCAACATCTTAGAGATTCATTGGACTACTAAGTGTTCCACGAATACTATCTCACGCAGAAATAGTAGAACCACCTCCTGAAATAGTCCAACACTCGTCTGGTGAAACCCTATCTCCCCGACCCTAAGGGTTTCTGTTAGGAATATCTCAAGATTCATTAGTGCGGGTTCATTTTGCACAATATTGAGATAGCCACTCTACAACAAAAAGATACTGTAGACACGCAACCCATCTGATGATCTAGAAAGTCTCTAAAAGCCAATTGATAGAAAACGCGAAACTAAGGACAACCCGAGCTTCCTAAGAACCAAACTGAAGGACTACACTTCCAGTATGCGAGAGAACGTTAGGAACTTCGGAATGGCGATCACGCCAGTGATGATCTTGCCATAGAAGTACACTATGTTCTAAGTAATGAAAAGCTCTACCCTTCCGAGAGCTTTGGACCATCCGAGATTCTTTACGGAGATTGGTCCAACCCCCATCAGACGACTACTACTTTCGGATATTCCACTAGCTTCATCCTAGATCAATCCACTTCTTAGACTTGATAAGTGTGTGCCCGATGTCACTCTTTGTATCCCACTCATCTTGATAGAAACCATTGAGAATCCTAACTTCGTAGACATACCTGTATGAAATCGCTAACTACACGAGACGGAAATCTGTATCCTATAGGTGAAGGTTTGTTGGAATGACATACACAGGCCAGATATCATTTGGGAGTGCAAGGAAAACCGAATAGGAAGTACCCACCTGCCTTTACTCGGTCATTCATACCTACTTCGTTGCCTAAACCTGAATTTCGGGACGAAATTCTCTCTAACTTGGAGATGATGTGACAACCCGAAATTTATTCCGTCACTTTTAACCCTTTCTTCCGTTAATAAGGCTCGTTTTATTTAACTGTTCGTTAACTTTTGGACTGGTTAATTAATGTGGGAATTTTAGAATGACTTGGTAAGGTTTGAAACAAATTAGAAACACCCTCAGTAATCCTTTGAAAAATTTTAGTTTCGACCAAGTCAAAATACGACCATTAAATCGGGTGCGACCAAAAGCCCCGTTTAACAGCAGTATCGGGTAGATTTCCACTGAGCCCCAACTCAAACCCCTATATAAGGATGAGTGGAGTCCATTTGAGACTTTTTCACTCTCTCTCCACTCTCTCTCTCTCTCTCTACAACTTAATTTCAAGCCAAAATCGTCCGTTTCGAGCCCCAAACGAGTAAGCAATCTACCCTAACTTGTTGTATAGCTTAACTAACATGCAAATTCGTGTTTAAGACATCAAATAGGGGCCAAGTTATGTGTTTACGGCCCAAGAATACTCTTGGACCGTGAACACCCCTAAATGGGGTTTTTAAGCCCCAAACCCCTCAAAACTACCCCTAAGGCTTAGATATGACTTGTGGAGTTACACCTTCGAGCTTAGAACACCAAAACCTTATGATATGGAGAGTAAACATGAGTTTACGACCCAAGAACACTCTTGGACCATAAAACCCTATTCATAGGCTGTGAACACCTTTTAAGGTGTTAGAAATGCCCTCAAACTCCCCCTATGGCCTTGGAAAATGTTTAGAAGCAACCCCCATTGAAGTAAAGGCTTTAAACATTTAAGAAACTATGGACTTTGGAGTTTATGGCCGTAAGCCCCCCTAGAAAAGGTCCATGGGCCGTAAACTCCCAAAAGGTGGCCAAATGATGCCCTAACACCCCCCATTTGGCTTGGAATAATGCTTAGAACTTTATACTCTATCATTTAAGGCTTAGATCTATGAAAGAAATGACCAAGTGAGAGTTTACGGCTGTAAACTCCTTGTTTATGGCCATGAACTTCTTAAATGGTCCCTTAAGAGCCTTAAACCCCTTCATATGCATTGTATTTGGACCTAGCCTAATTCCTTGAGTGATATAAGACATTTTGGCTTCCTAGAACACCCTCACCATGAGTTTACGGCCGTAAACTCATGGGGAGTTAGTCCCATGGCCGTGAAATCTATAAAGAGTTTACTCTTGAAGAGTAAACTCCCTATCTAAGCCATACACACCCTTAGATGTTACCTGGGACACCCCAAGCACTTAACCAAAGTGTTTTCCGCACTTTAGGATGCGTATACGTGTTTAATTAGTATTATATTCAATAATTGTATGTAAACATATATCATCATATGTTAATAGGTCACTAAGTGTGTTCAAGTCTTTACTTGACACCGAGCACCCAACCGGCACCTTCGTCGGATCCACTTACATCAGGTGAGTTCATACCCCTGAATTAACCTTTTAAATGTTTTTACATGCTTTTAGGGGGGCGGGGGAATACAAGTTAAACATGCCAGTTATCATATCAATCACATGTGATTGATAACCCGCATGCACAAGGATTTATTACAGTGTCAACTATTTTTACCAAGTATGATACTGTAAATGGTCTTCCAAAACATCTTTATTTGTACAAAGCTTTTCTCTAATTGTTTCTCACGCTGTATGTTTACTTAAAATCCTGTTACGGCAGTATGTTAAACAAAGGATTTCTTTACCCAAAACGTTTTACCAAAGTTTCGTTCAAAACTTAAAGTACAAAGGTTTTCCAAAGTTTTTCACCGAAGTTTTCTTCCATGTTTTATACTCCTACTTCGTTAAATTCTAATGCCTTGTTATACTTCTACTTAGTTAATGCTCCTACTTAGTTAAATGCTACTACTTTATTAACACTTTTACTTCGTGATACGCTTATACTTCACGATACACTTCTACTTCACGATACGCTTCTACTTCACGATACGCTTCTACTTCACGATACGCTTATACTTCACGATACACTTCTACTTCACGATACGCTTATACTTCACGATACGCTTCTACATCACGATACGCCCCTACTCATTAACACTTATACTTTGTGAAACACTTCTACTTCGTTAAACACTTAAACTTCATTAAATGATTCTACTTAGTTAAATGTATGCATGTGCTTGTATAAGTTATATAAATAATGTTTAAAGGACTTAGGAAGGCTAGTTCGCCCTATTTCCTTTTCTTCGTTGAGATGTGTTCTGGTGGGATCGGATTTCCGTCCGAAGGTCGTTTGATCATTAGTTATACATTATGTATACAAGCATAGACATATAGGTTTACATCGGTCAGTTCAGTTGTGAGTCTCTATCACTTGTCCAGTATTTTATACTAGATCTCACTATTCGAGATGCATCTTCGGGACACGGCCTTCTCCATTGTCTAGTTGGTAACCAGAGTCTCCTGTAGGGAGAGCGGGCATTATGTGTATAGATCGATACGGCATTGACACCCCCGCACCCAGACTGCTAGCTACAGTCAACGGCCTACCAAGCCAAAGGGTGACAAATGTCACATTATTTCCGATTCTTGTAGGGCATCAAGTTCTCTAGTGTCTATCAGTATGGTTACGAGTATCTCGGGGTTACCTTATAATTCATGGCCTTAAGATAATGGAAATTAACACTGTATTCACTGTTTTTAGACCTTGCTAGACTTATCATTCATTTAATACTGTCTGGGGTCTATATTCACTGTTTTAGGCCTTGCTAGACGTATCATTCATTTGATACTGTATGGGGTCTGTGTCTCCTCTTGTTAGACTGAGTTAGGTGCATCGTTCATTCGATACTCTCCTAGAGTCTATGATTTCTTTTGCCTTAGTCAGCAGTCTTCACTGCTGAGGCATATGTTGTTTTACCTGATATTCTTCTACTTTCTTTACAATCAATACCTATTTTGATAATGATAGTGTTAAGGGAAAAATCACTTTTTACAACATAACTCTGTCCAGTCTTGGTAGAAGACTACTTTTAAAATTAGAAAATATTGGATTTTCTGGAAAGGACTCTAATTCACTGTGTACTCTAAAACTACTACTTGTATAAAGTTATTTGAATTAAAATGACACTAAATACTTATGAACTCACCAACATTTGTAAAAATGTTGATACTCGCTTTCAAATAACTTGTATTCTCAGGTCAGCAATAGACAGGTACATCCCAGGAGCTTTTGGTGAAGATAGTTTAGTACCAAGCTGCACCTGTATTATTACTTGTATTACTTTGATGATGTAATGTAATGTAAACCATGTAAAACTATTACTATTAATGCAATGGTTGTTGTACTTTGATTACTATACTGCATATGTTGTGATACTTGACATGATGTCATCCACCCCAGAACGTTTCCGCCGTTCCGGTTTTGGGGTGTGACAAACACCATCACTATCATCGATTCTGCTTCTTCTTCTACAATCCACGGATCCAAAAGGGAGCATATACTCTCGTCTCGCAATCGATGATGGACTCTGGGGTCGATTAGGCTAAAGAAGGGGATGCGAAGGAGCAGTGGCGCTGTTGTGGGGTCCGTGAACACGAATGAGAAGCAAGGAGTGAACGGTGAGGAAATCCCGACCACCACAGCCGCAATAAACCCTAAAATCACCAACTCAACTCAACTCAACAAAAAGTATTAGTCAGACCTCAGAACGGACCACCATTTCACACATTGTTATGCTAATTTTAGGTGTTCGAATCCAACAACCCTTCTTCGCTCCCTCCTAGTGCTGCCTCCACGTTAGGTGCAACTTCTCCACTACAGGTTCTTAGCTAAACTTAATCAAAGGAGTATTGTGTTTTATCCATGTCTGCCAACTGTTTGATAAAATTACTGAATGAGTTCGCTTGACTCAAGCACCCCGGCATGTAGACAAGGATTGTATCGATTTCTTGCCATGGTTAAGGCAGAAGGCTGGGGAGGAAATTTCGTCTGTGCTCCCTGTAGGGAAATCAATTCATGGCAGGTAACATATATATGTTTCAAATATTTTTATGATTTTTCAAATTCTTTTGCTCATCTATGATATGTCCTAAATACAGGTCATTATTTCCTTGTAAACCAATACATGCTGGTGATTGCATACTGAAAGTTCCTTACACTGTGGTATGCTTTACTGAAACTTTATAACTCTTTGGTGCTTCATGATTATAAATCCCAAATTTTGTCATATGTGGACATTTTTTTAGCAACTAGCCCCAGATAATCTACTTCCTTCAGTAAGTTCTTTGTTAGGAGATGATGTTACTAATGTTGCAAAGCTTGCATTGGTCATCTTAATGCACCAAAAACTTGGTCAGGTACCAATTTTGTACATTTTTCTCTCAAACTGTTTGAGATGACATTCCATGTGGTTCCTTGTTTATCATCTCTTCATTAATGCAGGCTTCTGAATGGGCCCCTTACATCAACTGTTTGCCACCAGTTGCAGAGATACATAGCACAAAATTTTCCTTTTTTACCCTTTTAGTAAGTCAGACATTTGATGACAAATTTCCCTTGTGTTATTTACCTAAAGCACAATGTTTATATATGTAGATAGTTTGGAATGATGAGGAATTAAAGATGATAGGAAAGGTAAAAAAACATTGAAAATAGGAAAAATGAAATACATTCTTGTAACACCCATGATTTTTCAAACAAATTTTTTGAAAATTAAAATAGTTTATCTCTTTAACACTTTTCATAAAAATCCCATTTGTTTAAGTTGCAATACATAACTCTTTTGTTCAATCAATTGATAAACCAAGATCTTCAAAACAAATGCTTCCCCTTGTGTGTACAATCGAGTCGGTGTCGTCCTGTGAACCTGAGAAACCTAAAACACATAAAACAAAACACTGTAAGCACGAAGCTTAATGAGTTCCCCAAAATACTACTCTAACACATATTAGCCAGTCAAGGCTATAACTCTGCGGGCCCTTGGGCCCTAACTCTGTGTGTCTCAGTGGGACCCTCTAGTCCCAACTCTCTGTGGACCCTCTGATCCTAACTCTATGGACCCAAAGGTCCTAACTCTGATATACACACAGCATAAATCACATAGAAACAATGCAGTGCCACACATCGCATAGATAGCATACAATAACTCTGTCACATAACTCTATTACCACTCTAGGTAAAGTATAGTGAGAAGACTCACCTGCTATTACCGGCTGAAGAACAAGATCACGCTACTCCGACCACCGACATGAACTCCGCCACTGAATCACCGAAACCAATAAATACCAATAACAACCAAAATACCCATGGAAGTCAACTGGTCAACTCTTGGTCAAGGCCAACCCTCCTGACTAACTCTACTCGCTGATTCAACCCGCTAAATCGTCGAGTCCCCATGCTCTGAAACTCCCTTAACACGACTCAACTCACCGAGTCGCCCCAAGACTCGCCGACTCTCACAACTCTGAGTCAAACCGTACTCAACTCACTGAGTCATCCCTTGACTCACTGATTCTCAGCTTAACCAGAAAAGGTTAGGACCTCAAGACTAGACTCGTCGAGTCCAAGAACAGACTCGCCGAGTCCAAGGCTATCTTCAACCAACTCGCCGAGTTGTTCTTCCAACTCGCCGAGTTTTTTCCTATCTTCATGCAACTCGCCGAGTACACCCATGTGACTCGCCGAGTACCACTAGCTCTTAACCCATACAGAGGCTTTCCAAACCATGCAGGGTCTCCAATCCATAGATCTACTCTTATACAAGTCATCCATCACGTAAAGTGGCAAACTTTACGTGAATCCAAGGAGAACTAAGCATAATACACTCTTGGGCTAAGGTTCTTGAGCTAAAAGACTTCATCAACAGCTCTTGAACAGGGACTTTATGCTCTTTTGGATCATCAATACTCTAGATCTGAGGTAGCAACCTCAGATCTAACCTCCAAAATCAAGATAACACTACATATACACCCAAAAATCCCACAAATGATAGATCTAGATGGATAACAGCTCAAGCAACGAATCATTACCTCAAAAGAAGGCTCGAACAGAAGAATAAGTCAAAACCTTGAAAAGCCCCTTGCTCCAAGCCTCTTAATCTTCAAAGATCTCTTCAACAAACACCCCTTCAAGATCCAAATGTTCTCTAATTCTCTCACAATGACTATTAGGGTTTCTGGACTTCAAGGGAGAGCAAAGAGACTGGGGAGAGGGTATTATGTTCTTTATATAGGGCCAAATCCCTGGGATTAGGGTTTTCTCCACACAACACCAACTCGCCGAGTCCAGCCACCGACTCGTCGAGTTGGCCACTAGACACATGACCAGAATCGCGACCCTACTCGCCGAGTCTTCCCATGGACTCGCCGAGTTGACCATCCACATTTTCACTTTGAACCCTGAACTTTGCACCCCTGAACTCGGGATGTTACAATTCTATTAAAATCTGGTCATGTGGTATGTATTTTGTCAAAACTCTTAGAATGTCTATTATTCTAACAGAATTCGATTTCAATCTTCTTATTTGTCAAGATAGGAAAAGTAAAAAACATTGCAAGACGGGAAAAATGAAATACATTCTGTTAGAATATGCTATCATTCTCTATTATATAGTTTCTATTAAATAAGTAATGCTTGTATTTCGTCAGAATTTATTTGTATAAATGCTTTCTGTTAGAATGTCATTGAGAATGTTTGTTAACAACAAGTACATTAGCTTCACCAGTAATACTAACAAATAATGCATCTTATTCTTTCAGAATGGCTTGAAGAACGAATTCAATATTGATCATACAAGAGAAAGATTTGGAATCGAGTTCAACAACAAGTATAATTGTATATTTAAGATAATATATCACATTTTCATCATAGTTTGAATCGAGTGCATTATTTGGACCATTGATGAAGATCATGTGTATTTGCTTAATAATTGTATATTTAAGAATGTTATTTCTTAATATTTTTATTCATTTTTTATAATATTCTGTTAGAATATGTATAACTATATTAAATTGTATAAGACTATTAGTTTGTAAAAATATGTATGATTTTGTATTCACATTCAAATGTATATGAAGAATATATGTTGAATTATTAAATCGATTTAATTATCAAAAATATATGCATTGGAAATATATTCCGCAAGAATAAAACCGAAAATATCTTTACTAATTAATGTTTGACATTCTGACAGAATAAAATCAGATTTTTAACTTTGAATTAATTTAAAATATTCAGATTTTTAAAAATAACGGAATTAATTATCACTAAAAATCCGAAAATTTTCTTTTTTAATATAGGTTAATTGACTAAAATGCCCTTATATTGTAATTTGTGTGATTATATGGTACATGTTATCATATTCTACAATCATAGACCTTCAGATCATGATTTTTGATTATATTTCATCCAATGGTCCAGATATGTGCCTTCTGGTACACAATAGTTACTAAAAACAAAATAACCTAACCCTATATATATATATATATATATATATATATATATATATATATATATATATATATATATATATATATATATATATATATATATATTCAGGTTCATTTGAGACCATTCTAATTTTGTGAGACTGTGAGACCAAATCTAAAAATAATTTTAAAATGCAAAATAAATGGAAAAATCCAAAAATTCTTTTTTAAAATATTATTTTCGGAACTTGAACTAACTAAAAACAAATTAAAAAAATTAAAAAAAAAATATCGTTTTTTTTTTTTGAAAAATACGTGAAATATTCTAAATAGAATATTACATTAACATATTCTAAAAAATAATTTTAAAATGCAGAATAAATGGAAAAATCTAAAAATTCTTTTTTTAAATATTATTTTCGGAACTTGAATTAACTAAAAAAATAAAAAATAATAAAAAAAATCCTATTTTTTTAAAAAAACACGTGAAATATTCTAAATAGAATATTACACTATACATATTCTAAAAATAATTTTAAAATGCAAAATAAATGGAAAAATCAAAAAATTCTGTTTTTAAATATTATTTTCGGAACTTGAATTAACTAAAAAAAATTTTAAAAAAAATAAAAAATAATAAAAAAAATGTGTCTCACGGTCTCACAAAATTAGGCCATCTCACATGAATCTAACCCTATATATATATATATATATATATATATATATATATATATATATATATATATATATATATATATACTAATAAAAGAGTAGTTTTTTTGCCATGTGTCACCATGTTAGGCATTGTAATTAATATCATGACACTTGTCAATCTATTAATTCTCGATTTCAAATTTCAAATTTCAAAATTTAAATCACATTTTAATTACATTAAATTAATAATATTAGAATAAAAATAGAATAAAATTTATACCAATTATAATAAAATAAAATTTATACAAATTATAAGATGATATATTTTACGTATTTATTTGAATCAACGATTATAATTTTATATATAACTAAAAAAATATCTTTTAATTAATAAGTTATTTAAAATTATTAATTGATAGTTTTGAGTTTTTACTTAAAAAGTTTAATTAATTTTTAAATTGTGGTTCCCATGGGTTATATATATATATATATATATATATATATATATATATATATATATATATATATATATATATATATATATATATATATATATATATATATATATATATATATAGGGTTAAGTTCAAATAAGAACACTATTTAATGTGAGAACGTAAGAACACTACTTTATGTTACTATTCTACTATGAATTTTATATATACGACGATATGACATTATTCATCAACAAATATACGAACAATCACATATTAATATTCACATTAAAATTTTGTATGTACAACTTTATGACATTATTCATTACCGTATATATGAACAATCACATATTTAACATTCATATTAGAATTTACTAAATTACTACATATATATATATATATATATATATATATATATATATATATATATATATAGGGAAGAATTACTAGAAACATATTTATAAAAACTGTATCATAAGTCATAACATAAATTCTCGAGTATTAATTCAAAGCATAATATCATTATCAGAGTCAAACATTCCCAGGCTAACTGACCACGGTGTGTGCACTGCAATCTCCCCGAGCTCCTCTTTTGAAAACTGGGTACCTGAAACCAAAACTGAAAACCGTAAGCACGAAGCTTAATGAGCTCCCCCAATCTAACACATACCATGCAAAAACATATAAAGCACATACTGGGCCTTGCCCACTGCATCGGACCAATGTCCGGACTAACTGGGGCCTTGCCCCCTACATCGGACCGAAGTCCGGAAACTGACTGGGACCTTGTCCCCTGCATCGGACCGAAGTCCGGACTAACTAGGGCCTTGTCCCCAGCATCGGACCGAAGTCCGGAGACTGACTGGGACCTTGTCCCCTGCATCGGACCGAAGTCCGGGCTAACTGGGGCCTTGCCCCCTGCATCGGACCGAAGTCCGGAGACTGACTGGGACCTTGTCCCCTGCATCGGACCGAAGTCCGGGCTAACTGGGGCCTTGCCCCCTGCATCGGACCAAAGTCCGGAGACTGTCTGGGACCTTGTCCCCTGCATCGGACCGAAGTCCGGGCTAACTGGGGCCTTGCCCCCTGCATCGGACCGAAGTCCGGAGACTGACTGGGACCCTGTCCCCTGCATCGGACCGAAGTCCGGGCTAACTGGCTGAACATAGCATAGCATAACATATCAACAAGCATGAACACATATACTGCATACTACATCGGGCCGTAGCCCGGAACACATAACACATAACACATAAAACATAGCACATAAATCCTGTCTGAGCCACGAAGGCATCAAACATGCTAACTACTGCATCGGAAACTACTGCTAACTGGACGGGCCGGCATTGTGGCCTTAGACCCGTCCCTACTGGAAGGAAACTCACCTGAGACTGCTGAACCCTACTGATAAATCTCTGGCTGCTACTCGACAATCCCCTGATCCGCTGCTCCTCCAGCTCTCCGAGCTATCAATATACATATAACACTTAGTCTGACAGTCAACTAAGTCAACTCTGGTCAAAGTCAACCTTCCAGGTCAACCCTACTCGCCGAGTCTTCCTAAAGACTCGCCGAGTTCATAAACTCAGGGTCTTTCTTATTCGCGACCCGACTCGCCGAGTCAGTCCATGACTCGCCGAGTCCTAGACAATCTTCAACCAACTCGCCGAGTTGCTCATCCAACTCGCCGAGTCCATGCCTAACTTCATCCGACTCGACGAGTTGTTCATCCTACTCGTCGAGTTCCTCCTCATCTTCAAGCTACTCGCCGAGTCCACTCGAAGGACTCGCCGAGTCCAGTCGGTTCTACATACATGCAGAGGACCTTTGAGTCATGCATGGACTCCAAACTGTAGATCCACTCTTTTAAGGTCTATTCCTTACGTAAAGTTGCAAACTTTACGTGTAGAGAAGGAGATCTAGGCAAGATACGCCATTAACTAGGGTGTAAGGCCAAGGGACTTCAAAATCAACACAATGACTGATACTTTATGCTTCTCCAGGCCCTAAAACACTTGAATCTGAAGTAGCAACTCCAGATCCGGCTTCTAACCCAAAATAATAACATTATGGCAAAAGAGCCCCAACAACCACACATAGATCTAGGTGCAAAAAGGGTCCAGGAACTAGTTTATTACCTCCTAGTGCTCAAAATGAACTCACAATCCCAGATCTATAGCTCCTTCTTGCTCCTCCAAGTTCCTTCTTCCTTTTCCAAGCTTTATAGCACCTTCCAAGGCTCAACTAGGAGATATGACGGCTAGGGTTTGATATCCAGGGCTAAAGAGGCAGTAAGGAACCCTGGGAAGAAGATTAAGACATTTATATAGGCCCCAAGTCCCGAATTTAGGGTTTTCCACGCACAGACCAAACTCGCCGAGTCGGTCACTTACTCCCCGACCCGGATCCCGCTCGGACTCGCCGAGTCCCCCTTAGACTCGCCGAGTCGACCCCTAAACTTAGGGTTTTCTTTCCTTTCTTGGTCTTCGAAACTTTGGGTGTTACATATATATATATATATATATATATATATATATATATATATATATATATATATATATTACAGTAGAATAGTAATATAAAATTGAATATATTCATATTATAATTACTACAATACCATAAATTCATAGTAGAATAGTAACATAATGTAGTGTTTTCATATTAAATAGTGTTCTCATTTGAACTTAACCATATATATATATATATATATATATATATATATATATATATATATATATATATCTTTACTATTTTAATGTACAAATCAAACATGCAAATTCGTATATAAAAAAGTCATCAATAAATATGAAATGTGAATCATTGAATGGTATGAGTTTATTTCTATTTTTATCTTTACTATTATATAAAGCATATTGATCATTTCTTGAATTTTAAGAGGTATCATATGTAAAGCTTAATGTACAAATCAAACATGCAAATTCTTATATAAAAAAAATCATCAATAAATATGAAACGTGAATCATTGAATGGTATGAGTTTATTTCTATTTTAAAATCCAATATTAAATACGAAACAATCAATCATGGGTTGTTAATTGCTATATGAAATTATGGTTTGGATTTAATTTTTCAAATCTTGATTAGGCGATTGATTACTAATGGTTATCAATAATAGTCAACCTGAACTAAGGATATTATGGTTCCATATGATTTTTGAAATTCAGAATTTCCTTATGCCACGTGTTTGAATCCCTCAATTCTCAATTCTTTTTCTATCTCCCTACGCTTTTCTATATATAATCGGTTCATTGCCTCCTCCACCAACTCAAATCAAAATCAAGTTATCCTATTTATCGTTTTCTTTTACATTTGCGTTTTGTATATTCATCTTTATTTACAAGAGCACTAAGATTATTTTTGTTTTTGTTGTTTCACATTATTGTATCAGAGCATACGCAATATACAGACTGCAAAAATCATGTGAGAACGAGCTTATACGGCAAATCAATATTTTGAATGCTATTGGGTTGGTTTTTTTAACATGTTTTTAGATTCTGGACTTTTAAGGTTAGTCCATTACAATATGTGGTTTTTTATAACATTCCTATTGTTTGTTGTACTTTGCAACATTTCTAAGTCAAATCATTTGTCCATTTGATGAACTTTCACTCATTGATATGTCTTTTCTTGGGACGATAACAATGGTAATACATTCTTAAAGTTTGTATATATATTCCTGAATTTGCAGAGTAATCCACTATACTCGAGCCAATGTAATGCTAACAATTCAAGAAGCACTCGAAACTGGATTACACCAACCTATAATTAAGCAATTCAAGTTTTTGTGACTTGGACATCTTTCCTAAAAACCTATGTGCAATTCACACCAAGGGTGTTATTTTCCCTAATTATATTCATTTACCTAGGCATATGAGTATGAAGAAGGCTTGATAAAGTTTTCCTTAAACTATGTGAGGTTTTTTTAATAAAATAAATAAATAAACAAGAAGCCAAATATAGAGCCAAATTCGTTGACATCAGTTACATATTTGTAGTTTCTTGGAAATTTCCTAACCTTTCCCTTTATATATGACAAAATTTTGTTAAGAAACCCACATAATGGATTTTATGTTTCTGACTTCTCAACAATATTATTATTAATAAAAAGATAGGAATGTGATGTTTTCCATTGAGGGATTTTATTAAAGTTTTTACTTAGTTGTGATGCCTAAAACATTGATGGTCTATATAACAATTATACTTTCAAGGATCGGATGGCTCATTATATCATTAGTTTAGTTCAAAGAAAACATTGTTGCTAAGAACTTTGGTTCAATGATTTTTATTTTTTTTTTGAACTGGTGTGTCGTTTGTTTATAGATCAATATTTATCAAATGTTTGTTTTTTATACCTAGAGTGTTATTGACTGGTAAGATAAAGCTTAGTTTGTTTTATTAAAATCTCATTAAACATTTGAATATTTTATCTTTTGTAAAATAAGATATTTTTTTGCATTTTTATTAACTAACGTAAATATCATCTCAACCATGCTAAAAGATAAAACAATTAATTGACCTAATTTGCAAGTTAGGGAGATCGACCTATGTGTAACTATTGTCATAAAAAAGATAGTCGTTTTTAACAATTATGACCATGATTATTTGTTACCCGGGGGTTTATGGAATGTCATATGCTTAATATTACAAAAGATCTTTCAACGGCCTTGGTTTTGCTAACTTTTTTCTAAGATTACTTATTAAAAATAAATGTATTATTTAGGACACTTCTTTTGGTCTAAAAACTTTATTAATAATTTAATTATTCAATTATTTGGTATTTCACTATTAATAAAAAGATTTGATATACATTATAAATCTTAAACCTTAGTACAGTCGACTTGAATTTAGGTTAGCACGAAAAAAATTATAACATATGATCTTGCTCAAGTAAACCGATATTACACTGCGTACGAACTATGAAAACTCCAAATTCATCATATTTTTTGAAAGCTTACTGCAGCTATAAAGATAAAAATCTGGAAAGTAAAAACAAGTTAATTATGTGAAATATAAAATATTTTGAAAGAAATGTGATACTTGAATCATTAGAAACAAGTTAACTTCATTTATATTTTATAATAATGAATAACCTAAATAATAACGTACTAACATAACTTATGTATATTTTTTAAACTAAAACAAGGTATTTTTGTATTTAACTAAACTAAACACATGATACTTTAAAAGGAAAATAATAACATACTTTTATCCTGAATGGAACTAATCGTCTACAGAAACTATTTGTCGCCGCTGCTTTGCGCGGGCACACGACTAGTATATATATATATATATATATATATATATATATATAGAGAGAGAGAGAGAGAGAGAGAGAGAGAGGGGAAAGAAATTAGGAAACTTAGGTAATTTCCATATTGGAGATTACTCTCCTTCACTTCAAATGAAAGAGTAGATGTGTATTTATAATATGGGCCATGTGCCAGGCCTACACTACATACAACGATACAAACAATAATACATGGGCTAAGACAAATACATATACATACAATATGCATGTACACTAACAAATCGAATTTCTTGTTGTAACAGACAAGCTGAATCACAATAAGCAGAACTCAGTGGAACCTAAAATGATTACTTGTTCTCTAATTGTCTTAAGAAAGCGATTCGTGAAACTGTGGAGTCTCAAATGATGAGTATGCAAACTTTTGCGCCTGTTACAACATCAACATAATAAATGAATCATGTATTGCAGTGGCTTAAATGTGATTGAGACATTTGTAAACATCTCTTGTCTTGTGCGTTTACTTTGACACATTTTATCATGGTCCAAAAAGGTGGCGTTTGACTTGTCAAAGTGTTTAATGAAAATGTTTTGACTATTGATCCAATGTCTTTGAGGATAGAGTGAAGGAAACATGTGGACCAAAATGAAAGTTACACATGTGATTTACCAGTTCCTAACTGACAAAAAAGAATATGTTACATTTTTGGACATTCAGTAATTAAAATGTTCTCTTTCTCTACCTATTTAGATGATATGTAACACGTTGCTTGTAAAAAAAATGATGACTTGGCTCCCATGTGACATTTTAATTTTTTTTTTTAATTTACTTTTTTGGTTTTGTCATACCTGCTTTTTGCTCATTGGCATGCTTGAGTGCAGATTAGAGAGGTATTCTTCAACAACTCTTATCCACCTGTCAATGAGAATGGAATTATTAGTGATTGTTGATAACATTATAGACTTATACTGTATTTAACTATTTATGTATCAATCTTTATTTAATGTATAGATGTAATTGAAAGAAATGTTGAGGAGTAAAGTTTTTACCACAAGCTTTTTCCTGACATTCCTTCAAAAAATGCAATGTGTCCTCCATGTTGTGTGGTAGCAAGAACAATATTTTTATTCTTCCTGTTAACAAACCAGACAAACATATAAGAATATATACATAAATTAATCTTTTCTTTGATCAAATTATCAGTCCAAAAAAAAAAGTGTATTTGTTCATACCGACACTCATCCCAAGGAATGGCTTCATCAGTGCAGACGGGATCATCTATGGCATTGAGGCATAGAAGTGGCACTGATACATTGTTAACCAAACGAGCACTGCTAGCCCATCTATGAAATGAATCAACTGCCTGCAAGAATTAATCACACACTATCATTGCTAAATATACAGATATAGATATAGATATAGATACAGATGAGGGGAGGGGCGTTACATCAAAATTTCCAGCAATTCGAGCAGAGTAATTATTGAATTCTCGAATAGAACATGCCTGCAAGAGACATGTGTCATTGACTATTATGAGGTAGATTTTTCAAAGTACAATGCTGTAATAGGAAGAAATGAAAGTAGAATGTTATAAAATAACAAATAAATACAAGTAACCCTGTTATGTTTTCATGCTTGTAATATTAACTCGCGTGTTGGAAATGCCTCATCTTTCAGTAATTTTTTCGTATTTCCTCAATTTACCTTTTTTTGATGATTATTTACTGTGGAAAAATAGAGACATGGATTACCTTTTCAATTCCTTCCCAATCGGAAAGGCGAGCATAGACTTCCTGATGCCTACAACAAATTCAAAAATTACTATATCCAATTAGAAAAAGAAAAAAGATTAAAAAAGTCATATGCATGAAAGTTTAAAGTTGAGGTTATGAAAAGATAACACATACAACTTGGCAGCTCCTTTCAAGTTATTCCCCATAACTCTATTGTAGAACCTCTGCATAATCCCACGAGTGAAGAATCTATCACCAATCTGCCAAAAAAATAATGGATTCAACTTGTTGAAATACTGATAGAAAAAAAGTATTGCAGACTTATGAATTAAAGATATGCAAGAACAAATCTTTATATTGTCATGTGTATGTAGAAATGTGAATTATTTCCTCTAATTTCTTTAAATCTGTAATTCATCAAAACACTAACCAAAAGGTCCCAAGGATTACTGATGGATGCAGCCCCTGCAAGAGGTACATTATCCCCTTCTTCACCAAGATATTTTACCTGCAGATCAATCATTCTTACTATAATTCATCAATCTTTCTTACTCCAGATTAATTAATTAACAACATTTTTTTGAAAAGTTGTACCAAAATATTGGCACCAAGGCTAGTTCCAACAGCATATATGGGAGTATCAGGTTGTTTGTGATATAGATATTTCACTACTTCGCCTAAATCATCTGACTTTCCTGCAGTGTAGAAACAGTCAGACTGCACATGCAAAAAAATCAAAATTGTTAGTTGTATGGACAATTGAAACATAAATTATTTGGCCTATGACATTAGCTTTAGAATTATTTCATGTGGTAGAAACTTACAGTTAGTGGAACGCCTCCTAGGCCTCGATGGTTGCATACAACAATATTCCATCCATGTTTTGCCATCTTGTATGCAATCTCCTTCATATACTATCATAAAAAGTTGTGCCTTAGTCATAAAGTTTCACTAGATAATTGGTGAAACTAAAACTTTATATGGAAACAAGATAGAAAAATAAAGCCTTTCTAAAACAAGAGAAGAAAACACTTGTACTCTTTTTTATCAAAGCAATCATTATTGAATATACTTAGTTAGGGTTGCTATAATAATCATTCTGTGTTCCAATTTGGTGAAGGAAATCATTGAAGAATTTCTTCATAAGATCAAGAAACTCACAGGGGAAGCAGAATCACTTGTTAAGCCAGGAATCAATATCACAAGAGGAATATCAGCAACTGTATTGGTTCCATTGACTTGAGCGCTTGTCTCTATAACTATCAAGTCAAACAGAAATATTCTTGTAAATTCTTTTGAAACATCGCATACAACGGTTACTAGAATGATCATAATAATATAAGTTTAATACATCAGCATCATAATATGATTATTTTACCATCAGAATTCATCAACCAATCCAATGCTACTGTTCCACCATCAGAAGTACGAAATATCTCTCTGGAAATAGAAAACCATTTAGTAATAAGTAAAAATATGAATACTAAATTTCAAAGTACAAGAAGATGAATGTAAGATGTTACCTTTTGTAGCTGAATTTAGGAGTCTTAATTAAAACATTGAGCAAAATAGTCTGAAGATGCGGACTAGAAAGCCATGGAGTGGAAAAATATCTACACCAGTGAACAATCAAGGGTGGAAATGTTAAGAATCAAATACACAAAGAAAATCTATAGTCGAGCAGTTTATAATTAACAAAAAGAGAAGGAATTAACCTTCCATGAAGCAGATGACACTTGGATACGACTTCTCTGTACAAATCAGATGAAGAATGGAACGTAAGAGATACAGAATCACCTCCAAACCCACCGAAAAAGTCCTGAACGATATGAATCTCGAGTAGATTGTATACAAAAACAACGAAAACGAAAAACACTAATAGGAGGTAGTGAGAGATAGGTATGAGCGTTAGGGCTCTGAACAACAGCTTGTAAGGTGAAGTGGAGTCTCCGGCGATGGACTCCATTTTCCGATCGTCTGTAGGAATCATTGATAGACTGAATAAGTAGGATGGAGGGAAGGCGAAAAGCAAGTCAACTGGTCAAGAAAGGTAAGCTTGACTTACAACCTCTCTCCCAATCACGTTTTTTTGTAGATTCCATATAATAAGACATACAAATGTTTGTTGAAAAAAATAATATTATTAAAGAAAGGAATTTCCAGCTTGATAGCGTTTTTATATTCTAATGATATAAAAACTAATAAAAGTCGATAGTGAATAATAATCTTTTATAAAATATTGGGTTGAATGAATCAATAAATTAAGAAAAAAAGGATAATTACAGTAAAATCCCTAGATTTTGGTAAAAGTTTAAAGTCCAATAAACCGGACAATTTAGTCCTTATCATCCGGTGACCCTCATTTTCCCGGTTACAAATGTCTACGTAGACTGGGCATGCTTAGGTGGATTTGACGAAACTTAAATATATACATCATTCATTCCTTTCATGCCCCAAAATCGGACCAGACAAAAATCGAAGCAGGAGGAGGAGCCGCAAATGTCATCTTCATCTTCTGTAGGAAGCAAAAGTTCAAATCGAAGAGTAATGAATCGACTGAGAAGCAGGTGCTATTGCGGTGATCCCGTTGGAAAAATGGACTTCGTGGACTCCGTTTAACCCAGGAAGAAGGTTTATAGGTTGCCCAAATTACCAAGATGCACTTAAAGACTACAAGTTCTTCCAATGGGTGGATCCTCCTCTACCAAATCAGTGGTATGCAAATCTCTTACTAGAATTTCACAACAATGTTAATTTGGAGAACAATGCAATTTTTGGGGACTATGGATAACAACAAGTTGAAAGGAACTTTTTTGAGGACAATGTGGAACACCAGTGGCACAACCACCAGTGGCAAATCAACCCGTGGAAGGAGTGGCCATTCAAGTCCAGAATGGAGAAGAAGGTGGAAAATGGAAATCTTTTTTTTATGTGTTCATGGTTTCTTTTATTTTTGTTTTGGTGATGTTGAAGGATTTTTAGGATAGACAGAAGATGTATGGAAAGTAGTGTTTTCAAGTCTTTTATGTGTTTTGATTGTGTATGTTAGTGTACTATCAATGTCTTAAATGGTGCGTGTAGTATGTATCATGTTGTGTCCTTTTGTCAAGTGAAATGAATTAACAAGTTTATGTTTATGGCAAAGTCATAAGTGCTTCGAATGTAATCATGAGTGAATAGAATGGAATGAAACAATGAATGGAATCATTAATTAATTGAATCAATAAACAATGGAATGAATATAGAATATAATCAAACATGTTTAATAAACAATGGAATCAATAATGATTGGAATCATTTGACTGGAATCATGCATGATCGGAATCAAGTATGGTTGGAATCATGCATGACCGGAATCAATTATGGCAGGAATCAAACATGGTTGGAATTCCAGTTAACTTAACAATGTAATCAATCACAACATTAACATACACAAAAGAATGGAATGAAATAATGAATGGAATGAAACATGAATGGACTCATTAATTAATTGGATCAATAAACAATGGAATGAATATATAATATAATCAAACACGTTTAATAAACAATGGAATCAATAATGATTGGAATCATTTATGACTGGAATCATGCATGACTAGAATCAAGTATGATTGGAATCATGCATGACCGGAATCAATTATGGCAGGAATCAAACATGGTTGGAATTCCAGTTAACTTAACATTGTAATCAATCACAACATTAACATACACAATAGAATCAAATCAAACACAACATAAACATACACAAGTTAATCAACTTAAAGATGCATTAACCATGTTTATCATAAAACATGTAATATTAACCAAAAGTTTGTACAAAACATAATCAAGGGGCCCAAAGCCTATACTTTATATGGCTATCAACAAAAGGGTCTATTTAACAAAAGGGGCTATCAACGGTTGCCCAAAGCCAAAAGTTTGTACATGTTCTTCACAAAAGGATGGGTTAGAAACACCCTAATCTAGACTAAGTGGGTTAGATGAACTCATCCCCTTCCCATTTTTGACAACCACCAATTTCTTCAATTGTATTTTTGTTATCCTCTCTGAAGTCTTCCTCTTTCTTAGTTTTTGCCTCCTGCCCATGTCCTCCACAACCATGCCCTCCTGATCCATACCTTCTTGTTCCATGCCTTCCTCACCTATGCCATTCTCATTGATTCCCTCCTGATCCAACCCTTATGCACCCATTCCATTTTGATTCATGCCCTCTTGATCCATACCTTCTTGTTCCATGCCCTCCTCATCTATGCCCTCTATACCTATATCCTCTTCAATGATTCCCTCTGGATCCATACCATCCTGATTCATAATCTCCAAACCTTCATGTTACTCACCTAGGCCCTCCTGATCCATACCTTCTTGTTCCAAATCCTCTTCATTCTCAGTCGAAGTTTCTACAGTGAATTGGCTAGGAAATTCAAAACCCTGCAACAAGCATATCAATATATGGTTATGTTTAGGCATACTAAACACAATAAACTAAAATTATTTTCTAAACCGTACCTGTGATATATTAAGCTCCACAGGTACATGTTTTAGACCCTCAAATTCATATAATTCTTCCTCATTGATTCCAAGACAGACCAAAATCTCTTGTGTAGTGTAATTGGAATGTCTCATGAAATCAATATCACTCTTTACATCCACTCTTATTTCATCATCAACTTCAGGACTCTACACATCTCTTGCCTCTTCATTATCATGCTCAACAATAGGAGTCACCACATTTTCTTCATCAAGATTAGAAGTTCCCTCACCAAATTTTGTATTCCCTCTACCTTTCTTGCCTCTTCCTCCAGATCCCCTACCACCACCTCTCTTCCTTCTTCTACCAGATCCAGTACCCCCACCTCTATCACCTCTTCTAGATCTTGTCCAGTTAGTCAAATCAGGATCCAATTTGGGTCTACCCATTTTCTTTTTAGGTTTTGGCATAGGTACAACCTTTGGATTTTTGCAAGAAGCTTTATTATGTCCCTTTTGAAGACAATTCTTGCATTGTACAGTTTTTCCCTTGTTATACACTTAGGGGTACTTGTCTTCATGCTCAGATACATGTCTCCTTCTTTTGACACTAGGTCATCCTGGCATCCTCCTAGTTGTAGGTGGAAGGGTCTTGGTATAGCCAGTTTCTTCCCACAAGTTACTTTCATTGACTGGAAGTATGTTAGACTAATATGTAGCCATGTAATTACTCTTGCTGAACTAAGTGCTAATGAATTCCTTTGGATCTTGTTTAGTGTATAAGACTGTTACTTGTACATGCACACAAGGTATCCCTGTTGTATCCCATAGTCTGCAGCTGCTGTAATGGTGTTCCAAATCAACTTCATAACTTTGAAAGTCATTCCTAATGTCATATGAATTAACACCACTTGGCACTACATACCAAGTCCTGCAAATATAAACATTTATCTTATTATAAATGTAATAACAGTCAATTAAAAAGCTACATTCATATATGAAATACAAAATATACCTTATATCCTCAGCAAATTCCTCCGTCTTTAGAAGTGTTGCTTCACACACACCACTTTGTAATTTATGTGCTTCCTCTCTTAAGTTGTAGAACCTTTCCATCATGTAGAGTCTTATTTCTTCAAGCATAGCCAAAAGAGGCTTCTTTCTAGCATCTACAATGACTGCATTAAAACACTCAGCTATCTTATTCTCTATAGACTCACATGCCAAACCATTACCAAAAAATACATTGCACCATGTATGAGGTTCTCTAGCCATAAGATGATCATATGCACCTTCACTTAAGGTCTTGATCCTACGTTTATCTTGAAATCACCTTCTGTTGTAGATTTTGCAGTTGCCCAAAACATGTTTCTGAACTGTATCCCATTATACACTTTCCTAAAATTGGCATAAATATGCCTAATACATTATATGTGCTCTACATGGGGTAGAATATCCTTTGTTGCTTCAACAAGACCCTAGGAAATGAAAAAATATATTAGTAACTGTTATTAAAAACTATAATAGATTATATAAATTAAATGAACATGTCATTACCTTGCGTTGATCACTAATGACACATAATCCCCTGCCAACATCCAATGAAAGATCTTCACTAACTAGTTCCAAGAACCATGTCCAATTAACCTTGTTTTCAACCTCCACAACAGCCTATGCTATAGGGTAAATTTGATTATTTGCATCTCTGCCTATTGCAGTTAGTAACTCACCCTTGCATTTTCCCTTTAAAAAACACCCATCCAACCGTATAACCCTACGACATCCTATCTTCCACCCATCTTTGATTGCTTTAAAGCACACATATATTCTATGAAAAGTTGTAGTCTGATCAGGGTTAATATTAACAGAAATCCTAACTTTGCTACCTAGATTGGACCTCATCAGTTCATGTCCATAATCCCACACTCTTGCATAATGGTTACTCAAATTGCCATCAATTAAGGACAGTGCTCAACACCTTGATCTATAACATTTTGACCATGACACCTTGAAATGAAATTTACTTTGAATTATTGCCTGTATTTCCTTGCATTTTAACCTTGGTTTCCTTACTAGTTCTTTCACAAACTGCTTTGCTAACCAAGTTGGATTCATAATCCTTGAACTACTAAAATTCCTAACACATGTATGCCTATCATTCATCTTTTTCACCTGGAATGATTTTTCAGTACTCATCCATGAAGCACGAACCATAAAAGGGCATTTTTCTGGATCACTAGCACACACAGCCACTAGTCTAACACTATCACACTTCTTGAAACAAATTTTATAGCCCTTATAGATGGAATAATTTGGTAAACATAATTTCAGTTCTTATCTAGATTCATACCTTTCTCCAATAACCAGTTTCATCACATTCCATTTGACCTTTGGATTATGAATGGAGTATATGATTTCATCTTCATCACTAGATTCGTCAGTGTTTTCCTCATCATCTAGTTCCACACGAGCAGTTTCTCCTTCACCTTCCACTGGTTCATCATCACTGTCTTCACAAAGAACATTAAGGAATTCATCTTTGCATCTTGAAACTGATTTGGTTTTTACAAAATCATCAACTTGAACGTCGATTATGTCAGGCTTAAATACTTCATCCATCGCCAAAGGACACGAGCAGAATCGATCGATCGATTTGTTGGGAATAAAGGAGACGAGAAAATGAGGTTTTCAAAGAAGACCCAAATTTAATGAGGTCAACGATACAGTCACGACTAAGATGTCATGAAGACTTCTTTAACCGGGAAAATGAGGGTCATCGGATGATAAGGACTAAATTGTCTAGTTTATCCGGTCTATTGGGCTTTTTAAATCAAAAAAAAATTAGGACTTTTTTGAAACTTTTGCCAAAATATAGGGACTTTACTGTAGTTATCCCAAAAATGAAGTGTTTGGTTTGCATTTTACAACAAAAGTATCGATTTATTATTGAACTTGTTTAGATGATGGTTAAATTAAATAGTCTAATATCAAATTCAAAAAAATTGTAAATATTAAATATAGAGTAAATTACATGAAGGGTTATTATTAGCCCAACAATATTTAGTATATTGGTTTAAAAGGCTCATCGTTACCTTTTTTTGCCTCTTAGGGGTACGAACTTGTGTTTTACCATTTTAAAAGGTACATTTACCTACTTTAGGAGGTAACCATGCCTTGTCATCTGCCAACGAAATTGGTAAGTTAACACAGACTCGCTACCGAGTTGACGCCACATGTGCAGTGATGAATGGCCGTCATTTATTTCCACCAACACCCACAAACAACATGTTTCATCACCATGATACCACTGCTTTTTATGATCAGATCAAGAATAAATTGAAGTTGGACTTCAATAAGGATCAATTGGTTGAAAAGCTACGGAGATTGAAGAAGAAGTACCAGGATGTTCTTAATAAGATCAGTTCCAACAAAGAATATGTCTTCAAGATTGCCCATGATCAAATCACGTTCGAGATATCATGTATGATATGGAGCTCCGAAGTTGCTCTTATATCCACCCCTGAAACTGCAGATGTTGCCAGATTCGAAGACGAATAACCCAATAACCTTAAACCTTACCCAAATCCTAACCTAAACCTTACTCTTAGCATGAACAAGCAAAATGGTAACGTCGTTGCACATCCACATCCACATCCCAATAGTTTAGAGAAGAAAATTCCTCGATCAAGAAAGCGATCAAGGTCTAGTGGAGTCAAAATCAAGGTAAAAATCATTAAGATTTGCTATTTGAGGTATCATGATCATTTGAGGTTGTTATTTCTGGAAGTGATGTCCAATGCTTATGATCTTCCAATATGAATGTTTAACTTCATAAGTAATCACATTTTATGATATTAAATGGAGCTTAAGTATGTCATAATCATATTATATGCGATATAAAACATTTGGTATGTTTAATGAAGTGTTGGGAACAAAAGCACTAAAGTACAAGACCTTTAGTGGGTAAAATCCATGTTTTTGGTTATTTGTACACTTACACAATCATGTAATTTGCAAAGCAATACTACACAACCCGTTTAGCGGAATGTGGCAAAATTGAAAATGACATAACTTTTGCATATGGACTCCAAATCAGGTCTGGTGTTTGCCATGTTCTTTTAATAATGTGAGGAATATTTCTAGAGGATATACTAAAATTTTCAATAATTAAATTTTATTACGTACTTAATTTAGTAGTTGTTAGTATAAGGTCTTCGATTTTCGTCCTTGAGAGGTTTCTGTAAAGAAAGATTAGATGCAAACGATGTAGTTGAGGCTCGAGTTGGACTCAATTCCCTTAAAGAGATTCGCCGTCTGTTCCCAAGGTACAACAACCTAAACAGTATTGTGTACTGCCGGAGATAACCACTTGCCTGAAAAAATGGCCGGAAGCAGAAATGCAGAGAAGGAAGAAGAAGAGTAGTAAATTCATTCGTATGTCTGAATGAGAAGGCAATGGTCTTCTTTGTGAAACGGAAAGAAATCACTAATTGACTGAGCGTTTAATGGCAATAAATGTCATTAATTACGCAATTAATGCATCCGTTAAAAATTCAAAAATAGGGACCAAAACTGTCAAGTTTAGCAAAAACGAGGGTAGCGCGCGCCCGAGTTTTCGGAGCTGCATTCGTGTCCACAGGTCGCGCCCATGCACGAGTTCAGTGATTTTGGTTTACGGAACCAAGATTTGCACCCCTCCTGCGCGCAGGTAGGAATTGTAGCATAACCATAGACACAAGCTTGTAGGCCTTCCATGCAATGAAGCTTATAAACATTGTTGAGTTTGGTCTTTCTACCAATGTGGGACTCATTCCCACATTCCTCTCTTTTGCTAAACTTATTCTCAAATACCCATCTTTGAGTATCGATATCTCATTCACTTATACTCTATTTTGGACATATAATATATCGTTTCGAAGCCCTCATGGAGGAGAACACAAACCCACTTAGAGTTCGTTATATGTACAACGTATGTATATATTTATATATGTCCAAAGTTAGTAAAAAATATAAATATTTTTACTAAATTTCCAACAGTAGTTAAGTGATGAATATAACCTATTGTATGTTTTATGTTCAGGTTATTTGTTTCTCTCCACTTTTATTTGGCAAACCCTACTAAGATTACACGAACAATCTAATACTTGTATGATCCTATAGGGTAACACCAATAACAGGTTGTCCGTTTCTCACCACTTTCATTTGAAATATCCTACTAATGCTCATAAGTTTGAATATTTTTCCAACTTTTCTTCCCACTTTTAGGGCTCTTCAACTAAAGAGCCAAGGATTTTGGTTGGAGCTATTTGCACTTCATCTAGAGCACTCACACTTATGAAGGAAGATAAAAGAAGAAATATAGAAAAGTTAAAGCGAAGAGAGTTGAGGTTCATATTGGACACAATTCGTCAATTCCCCCTTTAACATATTTGTCGCATGTGTTTGTTTCCAAGTGTACAATAGTCAGAACAGTATGAAATGCCGAAAAGTCATGGAAGCAGGAACTTGTTTGTCAAACTTCTAAATGTCCTAGGCTACTTTATATCATTGTTGATATGTGTGTGTTGCTAACATGTATAGCTTTCAATTTATAGCAGTCGTCACCATTAATTTAGAATTTATTTTCTCATGAACCCATATTAAACAAATTTATATCAAGAACTAACGATACACTTGATGGTGGAAATCAATATGGGTCATAGTTGCAATACGAAATACGAACTTTAGCACAAACAAGTGGGTGAATTTCAACACAAGGATGTTTTTAGTTGCTAGTGTAATTTGGGTGGTTCAATACAGATTTTATAGCGTTACTTTCTATACAAATTTAGCTTCCCGTCTATGTGGGACAACTCATTCCCCCCACTTTTAAGTTCCAACTTCTTTTCCAAATACATCACTTTGAGAGTTGATATCTTATTCACATTAGCTCGGATTTTTGACATATAATATATCATACGAAGCTCACATTAAGAAGAAAGTATTTCCCTGTAAATTTTCATAAGTTGACCACAAATATTTATATTTACACGTGTCGTGTCCAAAGTCGGTGAAAAATCATAATATTCTAAAGAAAAAAAATCATCTTTTCCCAATAGATTTCACTCATGTAACCAACAATGAAAGCCCGAAATTAGGCAGATTGAATTTCTTGAACTAAATCCCAAAATTATTGATCAGTTGCAAACCAAAGGTAGCAAAAACAATCTGAACTTTATGAAACTAACCCATGCATCAAATGAAGTATTTAATCAAAACAAGCATTATGATTGTTTGAAAATTAAGAGGAAAGGTTATTAAGGGTTATCATATGTACCTAGTGTTTGCTCGTTGAGGAGGTTGCATGCAGATGAGAGAGGTATTCTTCAACAACCCTTATCCACCTGTAAAAGAAATAACTCAACTCATAAGTGAGTGTTGATAACATTTTTGTATCAATGTGAATGATTCATACACATATCCGCATACGAACCATTTTCCAAAAAAATGAGAAGAAAACTTTTACCACAAGCTTTTTCCCGGCATTCCTTCAAAAAATGCAATATGTCCTCCATGTTGTGTGGTAGCAAGAACAATATTTTTATTTCTCCTGATAAGAATAGACATCAATGACAAAAGTGCCCAGTCCCATCCAGTTCAGTCCTGTCCCCATGTAGGACTATCTAATGAGGATGAGAAGGGCATTTACGTCTTTTTCATATACGATAGATCAAGAGCAAGTCCTTTTCCCACCTTTTTGGGTACAACAAAAAACTGTAATTTTCTCTCATTGACATCAGTCCCAGTTGATGATAATGAAGGCTTTCATTTTATTTTTAAGTGTGAGTATTTTGGATGTTGTGATTTTTTAGAATAAGGAAAAAATGTACGTGTTCATACCGACACTCATCCCAAGGAATGGCTTCATGACTGCAGACAGGATCATCTATGGAATTGACACATAGAAGTGGAACCGATACTTTGCTGACCAAACGTGCACTGCTAGCCCATCTATAAAATTCATCAACTGCCTGAAAGAATTAATGACACGCTATCATTGGTTAATGAGTGCAAAAAGAAAAGAAAGATGCAGAATTTTTTTTATATAAAATATTACCTCAAAATTTCCTGCAATTCGAGAAGAGTGATTACTAAAGTCTCGAATTGAACGTGACTGCAAGAGACATCAGCAATTAATTGAGTAGAATTTTCAAAGTACATGTTGTATATGAAGAAATGAAAGTAGAATACTATAATAAACAAATGAATGGATGTATGTATGTTGCTATTTATTGCATTTAACTCTAGATGTCTCGTCTTTCTTTAATTTTTGTGTAGCTCCTCAATTTACCTTTTTTTTTCACAAAATACAGTGTAAAGATATCAACAAACGGATTACCTTTTCAATTCCTTCCCAATCTGAAAGGCGAGCATAAACTTCTTGGTGTCTACAACAAACTCAAAATTACTTAATCAAGGAAGAAAGAAAATAGATGATCAAGACAAGAATTACATAGTCAAAGTTTAGGTTATGAAAAGAATCAAAGAGAACACATACAATTTGGCAGTGCTTTTCAAGGAATTCCCTAAAACTCTATTGTAGAACCTCTGCATAAATGCACGATTGAAGAATCTATCACCAATCTGCCAAAAAAAAGGGAATTATACTTGTACGAAATAGTAATATCAAATGTGAATTTTTTTCCTCCAATACATACAACTGAAGTTGGATATTTCTTTAAAATGATATTCATCAAAAGTTCAAAACACTAACCAAAAGATCCCAAGGATTACTGATAGATGCTGCCCCAGCAAGAGGTACATTAACCCCTTGTTCACCAAGATATTTTACCTACAAGATCAATCATTATTAATCAAAACCTTAAAGTGGTCATATGAAAAATTTAGAAAGCATCTTTACATATTGAAAGCTTACAAAAAGATGGAGAAGAAATGTTTAACAGTTTGATACTTTAGGGAACTTGGCAATAATTTGCTCATTATACTTATTGACAAATCAAATTATGGGTTATCTTTCTTATTCTAGATTAAAGTTGTACCAAAATATTGGCACCCATGCTAGTTCCAACAGCATATAGGAGAGTTTCAGGTTGTTTGGAATGAAGATGATTCACTACTTCGCCTAAATCATCCGACCTTCCTGCATGATGGAAGCATTCAGACTGCAGAAGTGAGCAATTAACAAACTTGTTAGTTGTATGGACACTCATAAATCCCAAAACAATAAAAATAATACTGCTTATACATTGAGGACAAAAAACATGCTCTAGGACATGAAATTTAGATTACTTGATATAGTAAAAGCTTACAGTGAGTGGAACCCCTCCTAGCCCTCGATAGTTGCTTACAACAACATTCCATCCATGTTTTGCCATGTTGTATGCAATCTCCTTAATATACTGAAATACAAGTTACAACATACTGACATGAAAAGTTATAAAAAGCATTGAAGAACTTCTTCATAAGATCAAAAAACTCACAGGGGAAGCAGAATCACTAGTTAAGCCAGGAATCACTATCACAAGAGGAATGACAGCATCTGTATTGGTTCCATGAACTTGAAGGTTCGTTTCTGAAACTATAGAGTCAAACAGAATAGATTCTTGTAAACTTTTTTGAACCATTGCATCCAACAATTAGCACCATGATCACTCCAAAAAGTTTATTACATCATCATCATAATGATATTATTTTACCATCAGAGTTCATCAACCAATCCAATGCTATTGTTCCACCATCAGAAGTGCGAAATATCTCTCTGGAAATGGAAAAACATTTATTAGGTTTAATAAGAGGAAATTGGTTGACCATATTTGCCACACAATATATCACTACCTAATTAAACTATTAGTGACGTAAGGGAATGGTTTGTTATCATTGATATGTGTGGATTGAGAGCCACAGTACTAATTTCATGAATCATTTATTCCAAATGAGCTTCAAAGTTCAAAGTATAAGAAGGTGAATAAAGATTTTTACCTTTTGTAGCTGAAACTAGGAATCTTGACCAAAACATTTAGCAAAATAGTCTGAAGATGCGGACTAGAAAGCCATGGAGTAGCAAAGTATCTGCACCAGTGAACAGTCAATGGTGGAATATTAAGAATCAGTCATAAACGTGCATTTTACTTAGTCAGAGCACTGCCACTGTGTGATTAGTTACTAGTAAAAACTTTTCACCTAATCCTAAATTTTTCTTTCGTCTGAAAATACCTCCGCGTTCCAAAATCAGAAGCAATGTTAAATTCGTAATCTATTGCTGAGTTCTGCTTTTTTTTAACGAGGTGAATCCATCAGGAAAACATCGTATTATACAGGAGCTTTTTCTTTTTTGAATAAAAAACACAACTTATAGTCAGGAAAATCTCAGGTCGAATTCGAACAGTTTATAAGAAGAAGAAAAAGAATGAACCTTCCATGAAGCAGATGACACTTGGATACGACTTCTCTGTACAAATCGGATGAAGAATGGAACGTCAGAGATACAGAATCACCTCCAAACCCTCCGAAAATGTCATGTACGATATGAATCTCGAGTAGATTGTATACAAAAACAACCAAAACGAAAAACGCTACTAAGAGGTAGTGAGAGATAGGTATGAGCGCTAGGCTTCTGAGCAACAGTGTGTAAGGTGATACGGGGTCTCCGGCGATTGTCTCCATTTCCGGTCACCCTATGAACGTTGGTTGACCGGGAAATGGGAGGGAACTGGGAAGGTGGAAGCAAGTCAGTTAGGTGGTGTTTGGTTTCCTAACAAAGTTTATATAGTTATGATTATTTTATTTTTTAAAAAAATAAATGAATAAAATATATTAAAGTACATAAATGTTTGTATTTTTGTACTATATGTGATCAATATTTATATATCTTTTAAATTATTTATAATCTTACAAAAAAAATGTCTGTTGTGTTGTGAAAAGAAATTTAAATTTTCTTGTAACAGTTTAGTTTGTCATGTTTTTGAAAAGAAATTTAAATATTTCTTTAATAATATTAAATATAATAAAAGTTGATTATAAATAATAAACTTTATAACGAAACATCAAATTGGATTGGGTAGTATATACAATAGGCAAAGCATAACTACAGTGGAATCATGTTTAGTTATACATCAGCGTCCAAAATAAGAAACGATTGTTCCCATAACCTAAAATTATATATTTTGATTTATGAATAAAACATTATTGCATATTTCATAAATAATATGCGATCCTCCAAACAACTTGACCCCACCCCTTGACTTCATCCAAATACAGTCAAGCTCTTTACAAGCTCAATAAAACAAGAATTGAAGTCTTTGTACACAGTCTTTTACTTACATTTCCAAAAAGAACTGTAATAATGACCCTTTTGATCACAAACGACTAACCCTACAAATTGCTAATAAGCATTCAAAAAAGAAAAAATAAAATCACAAAAACAGCAAGATCAATCTTTGGAGCTAGATTCTGAATCAGAAGGATCAACAAATCTCCAAAAGAAACCCAAGCTGCTACCCATTATATTCATTACCACAGCAGAAACTGCTGGTGGTAATGCAACCATAGGCGAGCTGAAATGTGATGCTGCTAACACCACGCCCAATGATGAATTCTGCATTCCAACCTGCAACAAAAAAGTTGGCAAAAACATTATTTAGCGACTCATGGCACAAGGGTGGTAAAATAGTCTTTTCACTTTCACCTCTCTAGTCTCAACACATGTAATTCTTAAGGGTAGTTTCGGGAAATCGCAGAAGGTTACATATCATATCATCACGGGAAAGAACAATATCCTAGATAGGCAAAGGGGACATTTGAATGTTGCAAAGTAACTACAGCAACATGAAGAATTAGAAGAAGATAATTTAGGGATCGTTATGTAATTTTACATTTATTTTAATAATTAGTTTTTTCCTAAAGTAATTTTACATGTATTAAGGATAACGAATCATAACAAATATTTGACCTATTAAAACCTTCAAAAATTACCTCAATGGATACAGCACGTCTTTCTCTCTCTTTAAATCCCACTAGAGTTGCTACTACATACCTACAAATAGACACTCGACTCATCAAACACACCACAACCACAAATTTCAATTAATTATTAAAAAAAAAAAAAAATTAAAGCGAGTTAATGGAGAAAGTCAGGTAAGTCCTAACTTTTTATAAAAGATTTCCTCATTTATATTCCCTTTCATTTTCTCAAATACTTTTTGCACATATCATATATTCAAACAAAAGTTCTGGAAAAAGTGCAAGTCTTACTTACCCTACAAAGAAGCCTGCAAAATGAAGTAAGAGCACCGAAAGCACAACCATTCCCATTTCACTTGACAAAAAGGATCGAGCATAAAGAAGGGGAGAGGTTTCATGTGATAATGATGTCAGAACCATTGATGATTTCAGACGACCGATGTTTTCAGATAATACACTATGAGTGTGAAAAGAAAACAAAATATAATCATTACATTTATTAAATGTACGCATGTTGTAAGCAAAATAAAATAAATAAATAAAGATACCTGCAAGCCAGTAGTGATGAGGTCAAGACAGCTAGTAGTGGTGCAAAAGGGAGTGCAGTTTTCACTGCCTTTGGAAAGGTACTCTGCAAATAAGACCCCACAAGAACAGGTGCAACTACAACCTATAGAGTAAATCATGGAGCTTGTTTTACTAAAATGGTGAAAGTACAAGTGTTTCTCTGTATTTCACCCTATAAATTTTGAGATCAACATGAATATACGAAGAATTGTAAGCTAACCTGCATTGTGCTGATTGAAAGTTTGACAGCATCAACATGAACATAAGTTCCAGCCAAAACCATTGTCAGAAGAGGAGTAAGAAGCACAGCTCCAAGAGTGCTGCATACTGTCATTACTATAGACAATGGTACGTCTCCTTGAGCAATCAAGGTCACCTGTAACACTATTACACATGAAGATAAATGAACGTGTTTTTTTATAAACAAAAAATAATAATTTTAAAATTATTAATCCAAACATTTACCACATTAGAGGCAGTGCCTCCGGGACAACAAGAAAGCAATATTAAACCAACTGAAAGAGATGGTGAGAGCCCCAACAATCTGCTTATTATGAATCCAAAAGCTGGCATAATTGTGTACTGAGAAGCACATCCAAAGAGTATCTACAAATTACCAAACTACCCATGTCACTTAATTGCTAGAACAAAGGACTAAAATGTTGTATAATATCATAAAAATCGACAAACCGCATGGGTTGAATCTTGAGACAAAGTTTGAACACCTTTTATATTTTTTAAGATATACTTAAAAGTCTAAAAAGAAAGCATACCCAAATACCCAATTACATAAATTGCCTTATAGTCCGTTCATTCCATAAAAATATAATGAACTTCGACTATTTAAGTTTATCCTCAAATGTTTCAAATCTAAAGATTGACACAAATGTGACAACGTTATATTCCAAATAACCTTAACGATTTCTAAGTCGAGCTCAAAAAGTGCAAAAAAAGCATGCACAGCTATATAAATCGCATTATAATTCTTCCATTCCACAAAAGAGACAAACTTTGACTGTTAAAGGTCATCATGTTGACTTCCAATTCAGAACTTGTTATGAACTTTATTGCAAAATTAGCATCAATGGTCTCCTCGAATTACTAGAAGAACCCACATTAATTTTGAAATTAGAAAACAGTCAAAATGATCCAAGAAGCCTAATTAACATTTCAAGATTCCAAGAGAACTTACAGAAAGAGGCCTTTCCTTGAACAGATTGACCAAATCTTTGAACTCCAAAGTGAGACCCATAGCAAGCATAATAAACCCAAGTGAAAAGCTATAAGAATTTGGAGCTCTTTCTACAAACCATGAAAAAGTTGAAGGCTTTAAACACGCAACAACACCTCCTACTGTCACATACACAGGATACAAGCTTGCTAAAGTCGACAACACAGTTTCCCAACAGTTGTTTGCTGGAGAAAGAGTTACAGGAGATAATTCTCCAGGATTTGTTTGACATGATCGGATCCTACAGATTCTTGATCTTGAAAGATGTTGTTTAGGGTTTTGAAAGATGGGAATTGTGGATTTGATTGTAATGTTGGATCTTAAAAGAGGGATTTTGATTCTTGAATGATGAAGTTGTTGGTTATGGAGTGTGAGAGGAGAGAAGCAAAGAGAAAGTGGCATCATTGTGTCTTTTCTTGTGTAGATTTGTGACTTGTGATCGTAGAGGCCGTCGTGTTTGACTATGACTTTGAATGCTACAAAAACTTGTTGGTTGATAATAAGCTCCCACTTAAGCTAATTTATAACTACTAATATTAATAGAATTAAATTAAACCTAATTTATTATAATATAATAAATGAATGTTTTTTTTTTTTTTTTACCACGTGTTAAGTTTTAATTAGTTTTGATATTTGTCATTTTGTGATAATTTTTAAATAAACAATATGGTTTTTTGCAAATTTTGAAATTAAAAAGCCACAATAATCTTATACTTATAGATATAAATTATTAAATATAATAAATATTATAATAATTTGTAATTAATATGTTTATTCATTCATTATTTTAAAAAATATTTATTATTTACATTTTAATATTTTATTTTTTTTAATCAATCTGTGTAATACACGAATTTTACATCTAATTGAGATATAAAATTAAAGAGCCTTTTCCAACAAAAACACATAGATGCTACCTAGATTGACAATTCCCGATCTAATTTGTAATCCGATACGAAAAATAAATAGGTTCTGGTTGAGATTTATGACTCACCAACCAACTTATTTCATGCGTCGAGTTGGTTTATGTGTTTGGCTTCGTGTGTCAACTTGGCAACCCGTAAATATATATTATATTTTAAAAAATAATAATAGTTATTTATGAATTATGACTTGCGAGTGCAGTGTGCCTTACTCGATCAAAAACTCAATTATTGACTCCTAATTACTCAAAATGACCACAGACTACTAGGGGTGGCAACTTTCGATCCAACCTGTAACCCGACACTGATCCAACCCGAAAATAGACGGTTTTGGGTTGAGATTTTTGACCCATCAACCCACCAACCCGTTTATTTCATGGGTTGGGTTGGGTTATCTGTTTTGGTTCGCGGGTCAACCTGTCAACCCGTATATATATATATATATATATATATATATATATATATATATATATATATATATATATATATATATATATATATATATATATATATATATAATATTTAAATAATGATATATTTAATTATTAATGAAATTTGATTTCCATCCGTAATCGTAATATTCAGTATCATTATATTCTTACCGTATTCGTATGTAACTAATCTGCATTTGCGGTTCGTTAATCAGAAAAAAAAAATGTGTCGTTATTTTCACGAGTCACGAACAAAGAACACATCCACTTTCTATGAATATTTTCATTTTTCATTTTTATTTTGATGTTATTTTCACGAGTCACGAACAAAAACACACATCCACTTTCTAAGAAAAAATACATGAATTTATGTTGAAAGCTTTTTTTATGGTAATTACTTTAATCAGTTTATGAATTTAAGTTGAAAAAACTCATTTTTTTAAATGTGTTATTTATTTATCAAACGAGTTATATGGGTTGGGTTTTACCCATTAACTTGTGAACCTACGAACCCGTATACTTAAACGGGTTATATGGGTTGGGTTGGGTTAAGGTTTCCAACCCACCAACCTGTGACTCACCAACCCGTCAACTCATATATTATATGGGTTGGGT